CGCCCGCCGTGACATTTGACCGAAAAGGCGAGTCCGGAACGAGAGTCGCGCGTGCCATCCGCAGAGCCGCGCAAATGCGACACCTCTCTGGCCCATGACGGATCTGCTGCAGGTGCTGCCTGACTTTGACGCGAAACCCTACACCCACCTGCTGCCCTCGCTCGACAAGGCCCTCATCACCGCCAATGACCTGCTCACCCTCGACGCCGCCGATGTCGCCAAACGTGCCCAGCTGCCTGCCGGTGAGCTGAGGAAGCTCGCTGATGCCGTGATAGCTGCTCTGCATCTCCAGCTTGGCTTCGGCGGAGAGGAAGCTGCCGTCGGCAATTCCTTCCTTTCCGCTTCGGGCATCCCGGATGCCCCGAACGATGGTTGGACTTGTATAAGCACCTTGGATGAAGAGTTGGACGCCGCTTTGGGTGGAGGCATACCGCGCGGGTATCTGGTAGAGATTACCGGGGAGAGGTGCGGCAGTCTTGGAAATTGCTCCTGAACCTTGTACTGACTACTTCCAGTGGTGCCGGTAAAACACAATTTCTCTTAACCCTGCTGCTGGCTTCACAACTGCCGCCTCCCAAAGGGCTCGCCAAGTCAGTAGTTTACATATCTACCGAGGCAACACTATCTACAAAGCGCCTCGCCCAGCTGCTCTCCTCCCACCCGGCCCTCGCCTCACTGCCTGCCGACGAAAAGCCCTCACTGTCGCGTGTCCTGAGCATACAAACCCCAGATCTCGAATCCCAAGAGCACATACTACGCTACCAGCTACCCGTAGCGATTAGAAAGCATGGCGTGGGCCTTGTCATCCTGGACTCCGTCGCTGCCAACTACCGCGCCGAGTTCGAGAAGCAAGGCGCCGGCAATGGGGCAGCGGCCATGGCAAGGAGAGGAACCCAGCTTGTACAGCTAGGCGCCCTCCTCCGGGAACTCGCCCGCACAGAAGGCATAACCGTTGTCGTAGCCAATCAAGTCGCCGACCGCTTCACGAAAGCGCCGTCTGCGCCGTCCTCAAACGCAGCATCGCGGACAACATCTACCAACAGCCAGGGCAACCAGAGCGCGAGCCAGGGAACAGACCACGACCATACTGCTAATCCAGCCTCACAGCCAGCCGAAAGCATCGTTCTCTCCGCAGACCCCCTCGCTCTCGACCACCAACAACGCTGGTTCACCGGTTGGGGCGACTCGCAATACGAACAGGCGCATGTCCAAAAGACGCCTTCTTTAGGACTTGTCTGGACAAACCAACTCGCGTGCCGCATTGCCCTGAAGAAGATACCCGTTCTTTCTGGTAGCAGACCGCTCATACACACTGTCAACGGCCAAGACCAATGGAATGAGCAAGAGGAGAGCCACATCTCAAAGTGGCGACGCTGGTTCAAGGTCGTATTCGCGCCGTGGGCTCCGCCGTCAGAGGGGAGGGGCGTCGAGTTTGAGATAACAGAGAGTGGGATAAGGCATGTAGTTAAGCCAGAGAAGAAATGAAGAACACAATACACACACATCATCAGCAATTGTCAAGAGCCATTCAGAGACGCGACAGAGCACTCAGATTACTTCATGACATTGATTTTCTTCCAAAAAGATTCTAAACTTTATACCGCCCCTAGGAACACCTTCGCTAGCCCGGTCGTAGAGAAACCCCTAATGCATGCGTCCGCCTGGTATCCGTGATCCCTAGATACCCCAAAGTTTATAGAAAGAAGAAACATGTTGTTACAAAAAGACCAAGACGTCCCTCTGCCCCGAGCAAAAAAGTCCTCGTTGCCATTGAGCACAAAGAGAGGAGAATCGTAGGGTGGAGTCGCTTAGTCGGTGATCCTCCAGCTGTCGAACCACTTGAGGTGTTTCCACTGGCTGCTGGGTCCGACCATGCCGAATGAGATAGCCCTGAAGAGCACGTACAGGCCGATGATGATGGCGTACAGAACGGCGAAGATGGCCCATTGTACCTGCTTGCTGAGCTTTCTTGTGGTGAAGTCGAGGCAGAAGCCCATGACGATGATGGCGAACCACAACGCAGGGTAGTAGTGGTGCACGTAAGTGACACGACCCATGGCGACGAACGGTGCGTAGTGAAGAGCCCAGCCGATGATGGGGTAGATACCGGCGTAGTGGATCTGATCGATCTCTGATTGCTTAAGATCGTTGTACCCACGTTGCCAGCGGACCAGGTAGAAGACGACAAGGAGACCGAAGATGCCTAGCGAAGCGGTGCTGCCCCAGTAGACGAAGGGGTTGCCGAGCAGGAAGTACTTGACGACTGTGATTTTGTTAGTGGACTATCAAATGTGATGGGAGAAGGGTGCTTACTGTCGTCGTTCCAGCCGCACATGCGGAGACCGACGTGCAGAATGGGCCATTGCCAGAAGCTGGATGCGAGATCGTCTTGCTTGTCAGGGTCGGGAACAAGCGCGTTGTTGGACGTCATCATGGCAACGTTGAGATGGATAAAGTCCTGGAAGAAGGGTGACTTATAGTCGCCAGGGTTGCCTGGGGGTAGTCTCTCGTTGGTGTGGCTCTCGATGTTCCAGTGGGTGTAGACGTCGCGGGGGTTGTTCTTCTTGACGCAAGTTGTCTCAATCTGCTTGAACCCCCATTGAGGTAGGTTGACATTGCCAGCGCGGAGGTAGCAGCCCAGATCCTTGTGCTTCAGACGGAAGGCGGTGGTAAGGGTTCGGAGCTTGGAGTAGTCCCTTGAAGCAGCATCGCGAACAACTTCAACAACCCAGTGGTCCTTGGTGTCACCGACGGTTGTGTTGCCGTAGCAGGAAACTTCCCAGTCACTCTTTGTAACGGGGGCGGCGACTTGGTGCGAGTGGAGGTTACGGCCGGTCTGGGCGTGGATGAGACGGATAACGTCACCGTTTCCAGGGTAGCGGAGCTCCTCATCGGGCTTGTAATCGACTTCGTGGCGGTTGGGGTAGAAGAACCAGTCGTTGTTGGCATCCTTGTGGTGGTAGCAAGTGATCTGTTGCTGTTGGGAGCCTTCAGGGTAGGTCTGTACGTGAGAGTGAAGCAGTCCACCTCCGTATCCCATGTTCTTCAGAGTCGTGCGAGAGCCGTATGCGATCTCAAGAGGGCTGTTCTTGCCGACCTCGGTTCCTCGCAGGTTAGCCTGGAAGAGAGAGCTCATTTGTGCGTCGCCGGGACCGCTGTTCTCGAGGATGATGAAGTGGAGGTAGAAGGAGAACATGTAGACGGCGAGGGGAATGAGAATCAGGCCGAAGACTCGGAAAGCGACGTGGGTGACTAGTTCGACCTGTATGTGTTAGTCTAGTTTCCTCTAGCAGGGCGATTCCACGTACCTTGGGCATCTTCAGGTCTCCAAACTTGTGCCAGAGATCCTCAATGGTGTACAGTCCGACCAACGCTGTGACAAAGAATCCAACCCACTTGACGCTGCATACGCAACCAATGGAAACTCCGGTGAGCATCAGCCAGAGACCCCACTCAGGCGAGAATGGGTCATGTTGCTGACGGTGGAACTTGGACCAGCAGAAGACGGTGGTGAAGGTGAAGCAGAGGAGCATAGAGTCGAGAAGAATAAAGCGGCTGATGGTGGTGTACGAGTTCTCGCAGAGTACAGCCAACGTGACGAACCATACAACCGGACGGCGGAAGTTCAGCTCCTTGGCGGTAAAGTATGCCAGCGGAACGCAGACAGCGCCAAAAGCAGAGTTGAAGAGACGCATGAAGGTGTAGTCCAGCTCCGGAGGGTAGGTCTCTCCAGACTTGAATTCGAACGAGCCATTGTATCCAGCGAGGTATCCAGACAGACCAACGAGCATCTTTCCGAGCGGTGGGTGGACATCGAAGTAGAACTCGCGCTTGAGGTAGTGTGAACCGAACTTGCCAAAGCTGCACCAAGTCAGAACTAGCCATGTACGTCTTGGATTCAGTATACTTACTGGGCTTCATCCCAGGTGACGATCGGCGATAGGCCAATCTTGTACATGCGCGTGAAGAAGGCGAAGAAGGTGAAAATCAGAGGGGCCCAAATGAACTCGTATTCGTCGAGGAAGGAGATGATGTTGAAAGGCTGCGGTTTGGTTAGCGAAGGGTCCCTGCAGCCACCAGAATATTGACAGCTCTGATGCCACTTGTGCAAGACGGCGTACCTTGTCCTTGGACTTCTCCTTCTCTTGTACTGGTGCAGCGACTGGCGCGGAGGCCTGTGATTGTGCGGCTACATTTCTCCTCCGCAGCTCTTCCGCCTGTGCATCAGCGCCGGTGGTGCGCGCGGTTGATGCCATGGTGATGGAAGTCGGCGCTCTGGTCGACCTCAGATGTTGTTCGCGGAGTTGTCCAGAAAGGCGGAAGGGATTCGTGGCTTGAGGCTGGATTTGGTGGTGAACGGGTAGTCGGTACCACGGAGCTTGCGCGACTACGCGGTGCAGCCGGGTCTAAAGCGACTCGAGAGAAAGGCAATCAATTAAAAGTGGCCGTGGGCCGTAGAAGAAAACCCCAAACAAGTGAGAGCATGGGAAGGAAGCTCGCAGGGAAGGAGCAATGCAAGAAAGTCGTGCGCTGCGGGATCGAGGAGGTGGGCTACCTGTTCCCGAATTAGACTTACGAGCAAAGGAAGCTAGAGCCCGGCCGCCGCATCAGGGCACGGAGAAGCGACACCTGTTCACATCTATCACGTGAAACCCACAATTCCATTCACCTGGCCCCAATCGTTCCGTCGCACTGGTAATCCGATGTGCAGCCGGCTAGGACGGGGAGGGGCACTAGGTCGATGCACGTCACCAAAGCTTCACCACGGTAGCTTTCTGCACAAAAGATAGTGGTTCCGTCTCCCTTGGAAGACGTATTTCTCTAGCCTACTCAACACATGTAACAAACGCCTCAAAAAATGCTACGCGCACTCTATCAACCCAAGAACAACGCTCGATAAGCCATTGGCTCGTGAATATTGGAACATGCGCATCGCTTGTCGAGATGGCGCAGATATATGTAGGAAATGCGGAATTGTCGATGTGTACACCGCGTGTACTCTAGTCCTCGTCCTGTCCAACTTGCTTGTACTTTCCGCTCGTACTGTCACCCTCGCCGTTACCCTTCGTCCTCTTGACCATGTTGCTGATCCAGCCACCGATGCCCTCGCCGTTCTCGGTGTCCGCCTTGGCCATGTCCTTGTTGCCGCTCTCGATGTCAGGAGGGTCGATGTTGAGTCCAGGAATGGCCTCGTCTTGCGCGCGGCGTCCGCGGATATCGAGCGATGGAACAGGAGAGCCGCGGCCTTCTCCGCTGAAAAGTGATTCGGCTTGCGCCAGGGTCTCCGGAGTGGGCATAACCGAGGTAGCGTCTCCGAACAGGGAGTTCATGTCTTCCAGGCGAACATTGGCAGTTTCTGGGTAGATGAAATATACTGAGTCTTGTTAGTGAACGGCTCAGCCCAAATGCCAGCCAAAACCTACCGATAACAAAACTGGCAGCGCAGAAGAATGCGTGGATGAGGTACAATCGCCACTGGATGTGCTCCTGCAGGATCGGAGTCATCTCACCAACCAACCAGTTGAAAGCCCAGTTGGTCGCAGTACTCAGACTGGCACCCTTTGCACGAATGCTGAGGGGCAGGATCTCTGGTGGGTACAACCACGGAATAGGACCCCATGAGTATCCAAATGCGGCGTTGTAGATCATGACGAATATGACGACCATGTTGGGTGTCCAAGACGCTTGCAGGAACTGGAAGTAGGAAATGGCGGAGAGGGAGATCAGCATCATGAGGGCTCCAGAGAGCAGAATCTTCCGACGACCCAGCGAGTCGACAATGTACCATGGTGGAATGGTGGAAAGCAGGTATGTGATGGCGTTGATACCAGTCATGAGAATGGCTTGGCGACCGTACCAACCAGCCTCTTCGAAGACGAGCGGTGCATAGTACGAGATGACGTTGATGCCGTTGAGTTGCGCGAGGGCTTGGGCGGACATGGCAATGAAGACGCGTTTGGAGTATCGCGTAAACATGTCTTTGTATGATCGTTCACCTTCTTGACGCTGGAGCAGGACGTTCATCTTGATCTCTCGGTATTCATCTCGTGCTTTGGGGTTGTGAATATCGCCCTTTCCGTACAAATTGGCAATAACTACAATACCCTCTTCATCGTGATCGTTATCCAAGAGCCATCTGTAAGTGTTAATAAAATTCTTGGATTAGAAGTATATAGCAAACCTTGGGGATTCGCAGATAAGCAAGCTTCCTGCGGCCAGAAGAAGACCCATGATGCACTGCATGAAGAGCGGAACTCTCCACGACCAGTCGTTCTTGATGTATGTGCAGAAGTAGTCAACCCACACACTGACTGCGTAACCTGTGATGTTGCCAGTGAATTCAATGCAACCCATCTTTCCTCGGTTGTGGGGCGGCGAGATTTCGGACTGGTATACAGGTACGATGGTAGACAGCGATCCGACTCCCAGACCGGCGATGACTCTGCCGAGAAGCATCATGGGGATACCGGTAGCGAAGGTCTGCAGAGCGCCGCCGACGACGAAGATGAGGGAGCCGTACAAGATGGTCTTGCGTCTTCCGATCACATCACCGATACGGCCAACGACCAGCGAGGAGATAAAGGCACCAACTTCCAGGATAGCCACCATCGTACCGAGCTCGGCGGCGGAAGGCTGGTTGAAGTAGTCTTTGAAGTAGATGCCGCTGTGATACTATTAGACATGGCCAAGTACAGAGGGTGCGTAAGGGCGTACGTGATGATACCGGACATGACTCCCTGATCATAACCGAACAGGAACACGCCTAACGAGACGAAGACACTGGTGAAGTAGCTGCTGCTGTTAGCTCTGAGCTTCCTGTCGTGGTATCCGCTCTACCCACATCAGCTTCTTTCCGTGTAACCCGTGGATACGGGAGGGCCCATCGTTGGGTGCCATGATGCGAGCGAGTATCTGCTCTGCCTTTGAGATAGTGCGTGGCCCAGGGTCGGGGATCTCGATGTCTTCGAGCCGGAGTTGGTGGGCGCCCTTTTCGTGGAGGTCCTGAGATGCAAAGCGCGCTCGCTTTTGCTTTTGGCGTGGCCGCGACGGGTTGCCGGCTTCGAGGTTGATGCGGAGGGGATCTTCTCGGTCAGCTAGCTGGTCGACGAGGTCACCAGTATCGCTCCAGACGGAGAGGCCCGAGTCGGACGATGGGGTGTCGAAGGAGGAGCGCGCGCTGTCCTTATCGTGGTCGTCGAGCAGATAAGCAGAGTCGTGGTCTCGGGGACGGGCCGAGCTCGAGAGGTTGTGGAGGGGGATGTTGGCAGGCCTCCTGGTGCTGTTGGAGTGGGACGGAATGGTGAAGGTCACAGGCTGTTGGGAGACAGCCCTCTTCTCCGAGAGATGGTGGTAGGAAGAACGAACGAGGCCAAAGGCGGCTGCTGGGGCACGTCACAGGGTCAAGCAGCCGAGACGAGGGATCTGGTAAGGCTAGCGCAAAGGCGGTGAGAACTCGGTCGCATTGGGCTACAATGGGGAAAAAGACAGTCACGACGATAGCGCCTGGTTGAGATCAGACGTCCACAGGTGCATGCGAACGTGTGAGCTCCCTGTTCGGGCTGCCTTGCCGTCATTTCTTGGCACCCATGTACACTCCTTCGCTGCTCGGTCCGACCATGTTGCGCATGGAGCCTGCTGGCGAGCGCTGCACCGCCTGCACGATGATGTACGCGCGCAGCAGAGGCTTTGTTTTTATCGCGGCTGTATCGCGTCGAGTGACAGCCAGATGTACGGATCGCCATGTTCTCGCTACCACAATCCGATGCCGTTGACCGGAGGCTTGAGGCGGAGGCTTGATAGCGGACATTAGATCCCGCGATGCAGCACACGACGTAGCCACGAGCTCTACACTACACCTACACTAGAGGTGCACCACCAACTTTGCGCCATGTACGGGGCGGTGGAGGCGGGTCCCGAGGTCACGTTGGGGTTGTGGTGTCGACGATTGGAGCCCCGCGTGGAGACTGACTGCAAAGCGGAAAGATAGCCGCGATCAACTTCAATGTTGCACAACTCATGCGGTGTAGAAAAGAACACCGGCTACCTAGGTAGTGGTAAAAACCCCATACAGATCACGAGACTCGATGCTATGTAAGGAAAGAGACGCAGGGCCACATGGCAGTTTTCGTGCGGAGAAGCAACATGGGCGGGCTCAGACGCGTTCTGGTCTTGCATCTTTCGCTTCGCACGTGAACGTGACAGCCCTGAAGTCTGCCGTCACTGGACGAGGTGAACACGAAGCAAAGAAACCGTCATTGCTTTACCTAGGTACTGGAGACGCGACTTAGCCATATGACAGATCTCGACACGCTTTATATACCCAACGCGTTCGAGTGTTTGCAATCTCCCCAAAACGCTGTGGTGAAGCGACTATAATGCTAGCGTTAAACAAACATCAGTCAAATCCATCCTCGTCGATACAGTAGACGCCGGAGACCCTCCTGACGTTTGCAAGCTGGGGCCTCGCTTGCAGTGCGAAACACCCAACTTTTACGGCCCCAGGCACATACCTCTGGTGGGCAAAGGAGGTCCGCAGGTCGACCGTGCTGCTGTAGAGTTGAACAGCTGCAGGAAGGGCCTCTTCGCCAGAGTCAAGCCATCAACTCAATTAATGAGCGCCCTGTACCACCGGTAGAGTTGGGAGTTCTGCGTCATGCTGGTTATGACACGCCCAAGGCCCATGGCTTGCTCTGCCGCCAGATGCTCCGTGATCTGCGGCCCCTCGCTGCAAGGGGAAAGGCGCCGTGGGAGTGATTGGCCCAGCAGACCCCAGTTTTGATTACCTGCCCAGATGTTTGTGTGGCAGCGTTCCTGTTTCTTGCTTCTGGCAAAGGCCTAAGAAGGTGTTTAACGCAATTGCCAGGCATCCCTTCGCTGTAATCGACGTCGGACAACTCAATTGAAATTCAGCCTGCAGGGGGTTGGTTTAGCGCAGCACGCCCGCCCTGGTAACCAAACATTGAAAGCTCGCGGTCGGACCTGGCACTCGCTCGGCGCGCCTGATTGGATTTGGCTGAAGACCTGCTTGGCTTCGTGCATTGTTTCGAGGAAGCTTCCCAGCGGCCCCAGCCACAGCGCATCATTACACCTCTCACCACCACGACCACGACTACGACCGCTCCACGATTCGCTTTCACGTCGCTTACCTGTCCGCGCCGACCGCCCTCTCTTATCTGTCGCAGTGCGCACAACCCGATAACGAGCGCTCCACATAAAACCGCAAGGCTGAGGCTCACCTGCAGCTGTTGCTGCCGAAACGAAAAGCATGTCTAGATACGGAAAGGTATGTCCACGACGACTGCACGCTGCGAGAAGAAAACTGACCATCTAGTTTGACGATTTCTGCCGCGACACAGGCTCGAACTGGAGCACATTACCTGTCTGCTATGTACGTTGCGTCCTACCACCCCTTTGCCCGTCCACCGCCCGCGAACGCGCCGCTAACCCCATGTTTCACAGCTCTTCAACCCAGCTTCGACAAAAGACGATAACGGATGGCAAGATGGCTGCATCCTACAGGGCTTCCCCGTTGGTGGAGGTGAAAGACTGCACAATCTGGGTACGAGGCATATGCGCGCTTCAACGACATTCCGCTTACACAACTAGGCTCGATATTAATCTGTGGCATCGCAATCCTCGCCTCGCTGTTCCTGCTATGGAGATCGCAAAGAAAGAAGGCCGCTGTTGGGCGCAGAGAAATGCAGCTCTTCCTACTCGGATACATCGTCATCTCCATCTGCGAGATCTTCACCATTGGCGGATTCCCCCTCAATTCCACTGTGCGCATTGTACGTACACGATTCTACGTATCCACCTGCAGTATCTAATCTTTGTACAGGTCTTTGTCGCTATCCACATCGCCGCAATCACCGCTACGTCCTGGATCCTCATGCTCAACGGCGCCGTGGGCTACCAACTACTTGACGACGGCACGGCAGTATCTATCGGTCTGCTGTTGATTTCGTCGATCGTAATCTTTATCGGTACCGGCTACATCGCCCTCGACACTGGGCTCAACTGGACGGGTTACTGGGAACAGACGCGCTTCGTGCCCAACCAGGCATACGCGCTATACACCCTCTACCAGCTCGTTCCGTTGGTCTTCATCGTCATCTTCTTCCTTCTGGAAGCATTCCTGGTGCTGCGCGTTCTCGGCGAGCGCAAGCCAATGCGTAAGGAATTATCCACATTCTGTCTTAAGCCCCCACTAACTCCCTCTCAGTCTACCTCCTCGCAGCAGGCCTTCTATTCGCCATCGGTCAAATCTTCCAATACGTCATCAGCGTCCACATCTGCAACGGCACCGACGGCAAAATCAACGGAGGACTTTTCTCGACCCTCTTCACCCTCCTATCAGTAGTAATGATTTGGGTGTTCTGGTCGAGCATCACCGAAGACGACTGGCCCATGCCAACTGTCGCTGGCTCGGGCGCATATAATTAGGAACGAAGCGGTAATCTCGGGGGTGTACAGGCAACGGCGTAATGTTCTTATGATGGCTTTTGCCCGGCATAGCGTATACCATTTTGGGGCTCTTTGGACGCATTTGATGCGTCATGCTGAACTTGTGCTACGATATACATAATGTTTGCTGAATGGAATTATTTGATGTTCAGAAATTGTCTGCAAATGCGAAAACGTGAGAGCTGAGACACGACGGACTGGGTATATTGATAATCTATCGCTCGTCACCAGGCATTATCATCTAAACCTCTACCACAGAAGGCCTAAGAACTCCTTCATCCAGTCATCTCAGTATCCCCGTTGCTCGCTTCAACTGCTGTAACCCCATCCAGTCTACCCAAGCACCCCGGACAATTATGCAACACCATATGCGCAAAGACATCGCAATCGATACAAAAGTGACTCTCACAAGTCCGACATTCATACCTGCCACTTTCACTAGCCTTTTGCGCCTCACTATCCTCCTCATCCCTCTTCGTACCATTGACCTCGCCGTTTTGTTCAGCCTCAGTCCTCTGTCTATTACTAGTCGGTGGACTGCTAAAAGAAACCAGACAGCCCACACACTGCGTGCTACCCTTCTCGCGGGCGCGCGACCAGGATACTGTTGACCAGTTGCGAAGAGGAAAGAGGTGATGGTACGATCGTGCGAGATGGGTGGAGAGGAGGAGAGTGAGCTGGCATGACGGACATGTGATGGGTAAGGAGCAGACTTTTGCGCTGCAGCGAGAACATGTGTAACCGCCCATTGTGAGGTTGCCGTGGCATGCGCACATTGTTAGTTCGTCTTCTATGACTCGCGAAGGGAAGCCCATCATCATGAGCGCTGCTGCGGACTCTGGGGCTTGTGGTGCTGCTTCGACGGCGGGTGCCGACGTACGGATTACGGGTGGTGTCGTGGTGGCAAGGAGAAGTTCTTTGAGCATTTCTTGGTCGGTTGCGATGGTGTATTCGGAGTCGTCGCCGGCGTTTGTCCGCGTTACGATTTCCGTGCAGATTTTGAGACGTGCGCCCATACCGATGACGCTGACGCGAATCTTGTCTCGTACGCAGGCCTTGACCGTCTGGTGTATGTCCCCAGGGTCTAAACTCAACAAGCTGCCAAAGACGACGATGACCTCTCTCGTACCGTGACTTGGTGTGTGGTATAGTGTCGCTCTTGCCAGCTCCAGCGCGTTCTGCAAACTGGGTGCGCCCTTGGGCTCTTTGCCATCGTCTTTACTCCTCAAGCCTTGTATCGCTGCAACGTGTTCTGCCGGGTTGCCTGAGAGCTCCGAGACTCGTATGCAGACGCCGTCGTGCATTCCGAGGACGCTCATCTGGGATATGGGGTTTTGCTCGAAGAATTCGCGGATGTAGTCTTGCGTGTAGTTGATCATCGTGATGAAACGATTCGGTCGCATGTCCTTCTCCATCATTGCCTCCGAGAGGTCAAGCACCAAGACGACATGGCGGATGATGCCTCGCTGGAAGGGCTTTGTGTCTTTCCGCAGTCGCTTTCGTTTCCTCTCTTCTTCTCGTTCTTGCACGCTTAGCCCCATTGTATCGTCCTCTGCCAGTTGTGTCGTTTTGGCGACCGTCCGCGAGTCCTCTGTCTCCCATGCTTGCCGCTTCGGTGGTTCCTTTGCAGGTACCTCTGCTTTCCGCCTCTTGCCAGGTGCTGTGGATTGCGCGCGTGTGGTGGAGGGACCGCTCCTTGTGCCAATGTACTCGTCGTCAGATCCCTCCCCCTCAAAATCGTAATCCGAATCGGCCATCGTATGCGCGACAACTTGGGATGCGTCGAAGAGCTGGGCTAGACGATGTGTGTTTGGGTGTACGGATGTGTGGAGTTCAGGTGGATGATGCGCGTGCATAGGCGGAAGCGTGTCTCACCCGTGATAGGCTAAACGCGCTCTCACGTTTTCCTCGCAAGGAAGCCGCGTATGATTAACTCGTATCATATTGCTTTCTGTGTTGCAACTCTGACATTTGGAACACATGTTCGGTTCCATAACAAATCACGACCAAGCAGAGTGGCATTGGTTCCGTTGTTAGAGTCTTCACGTAAGATTTCAAGATCGCACTTCTGGCAACGGATATCTCCACATGGAAATGCCGAAGACGACCCCGCGACCGACGCGAACGTGGGGCAAAGTCCCGAACTCCACAACG